ATGCATAACTTGTAAAAAGGCTAAATCTAGAGTCTTGCCACATGGTTTGTACACCCCATTACCTGTGCCTAGTGAACCTTGGGTAGATATATCAATGGATTTTATTTTGGGTTTACCTAGGTCAAGAAAGGGTATGGATTCCATATTTGTGGTTGTCGATAGATTTTCTAAAATGGCACATTTCATTGCTTGCCATAAAACTGATGATGCCACATACATTGCTGATTTGTTCTTTAAGGAAATTGTAAGACTTCATGGTGTTCCTAAAAGTATTGTTTCTGATAGGGATACAAAATTCTTGAGTCATTTTTGGAGGATTTTGTGGGGTAAGCTGGGTACTAAATTATTGTTTTCTACTACTTGTCATCCACAAACTGATGGACAAACTGAGGTAGTTAATAGAACTTTAACTCAATTGCTTAGAACTGTGATTCAAAAGAACTTGAAGAATTGGGAAAATTGCTTGTCATTCATTGAATTTGCTTACAATAGGAGTGTGCACTCATCTACTGATTATTCTCCTTTTGAAATAGTGTATGGTTTTAATCCACTAACTCCCTTGGATTTATTACCATTGCCTATTGATGAGAGGGCCAGTCTTGATGGGACAAAAAAAGCTGAAACAGTGAAACAACTTCATCAAAAAGTGAAACAACAAATTGAAAAGAAAAATGAGCAATATGCATCCAAGGCTAACAAAGGAAGAAGGCGTGTTCTCTTTGAACCTGGTGATTGGGTGTGGGTGCATATGAGGAAAGAAAGATTTCCAGCTCAAAGAAAGTCCAAATTAGCTCCAAGAGGAGATGGTCCATTTCAAGTGCTTGAAAGAATCAATGACAATGCTTACAAAATTGATTTACTTGGTAAGTATAATGTTAGTGCTACTTTCAATGTGGCTGATTTATCTCCTTTTGATGCAGGTGATGATTCGAGGTCGAATCCTTTTGAGGAGAGGGGGATGATGCGATACAGCAAGCTAACTCCTCAACTTCCAATGATCCATTGCAAATCCCAACTGGACCAATCACAAGAGCAAGAGCTAAAAGAATTAAGGAAGCTTTGAGTGGGCTAGTGCAAGACACCTTGACAAAGCAAATGGCATTTATTGGAGTATCAAATCTGGATAAAAATGCTGAGGATGTCACTAATGTCATTTGGGCTGAAAATGGAGCTACTGATCATATCTTGGGCTTGGAGACTTCAATTTAAGGAGCTTGGATCAAGTACAACACATGAGAAGACTCATTTGGGCCTAATTAATCATATTTTGGGCTTGATATGCTGATTATATTTCATTAAATGCATTTGTGCGAAAATTCATAATTAGTTGGCAGATTTGACTTTTGAATTTCCAAGTTACCTAAATCAAGTCCTTATGAATTTATTATGTTTTGATTTTCTAGATTGCATTTAATGCTTTTTAGGTCAGATCTTGAATGTATCCTCTATAAGATATTGTAACCCTCATTTTGGGAGGAGATTTGGAATTTTGAATGAAAACTTGCATTTTGCAATTTCTGATTGAGAGGAGTTCTCTCTAGGGTTCTTCATTGAACTAACAGACTTATCAAGGCTTGATCAATCTTGTGGCGTCTTTCAACACTTCGGGTCCTTGTTCTTCCGTGTTCAAGGGTTCAAGTAGATCACCAAACCTTTGTTTACATTCTTGGGGTGCGTATATTCAGATCGGTTGTGGGTTCGTGGGATTTTTCCCTTGTGGGTTCTCACCAATGAGCTGCATATGCATGATAGTTATGACATGAGTTCACCTAAGTTGATTGATTCTTCTGCTGCATCATCACATGAATCTTATGAGCTTGATTCATGTTTGAGTGCATATGATGAATATTTCAATTCCCTCTCTTCTGTTTATTCATTTTCTAGTTCTTACGGAGATGAGGTGCCATGCATTAATTCTTTAGAAATTGATAGCATGCTTTCCATTTCTCAAGATTTTTCTTTTTTGTCAAATTTTGATTCCATTTCTACATTTACAACTGATATTGGCCTTGGAAGGAGTTTGTTAGTTAATGATGCAGATTTTCAAGAAGTGGTGAGTGCTGAGACTAGAGTAAAATTCGAGGATATGAGCCTCTGTGACATAAGGTCGCGACCTGAGGATTATCAAGTGGCGACCCCATACCAGAACTGTGACGAAGGTGACCTCTGTCAAATTGAGTCGCAACTTGAGGGTTCCCAAGTCGCGACTTCAACCCAAGTATTCCAAGAGGGTAGCTTTCGTGATGTGAGGTCATGACCTGGATATATGAGGTCGCAACCTGATTCAACTGTTTCACCTCATGTCTTGAAGACTTTGATTAAAGGGCCAACACTTTCTGATTCAATTGCTACTCATACACATTCTAAAATTACACCCCATACTTTATGATTTTTGAATGATCTAATCTCTAATAATGATGTAGTTATGGAGGTAGACCAGCCTAAGGTTGTTGCTTCTGTAGACCAACTCGAGCTTGGTGCAACATCCAATAGGATTGAAGCAAGAATAGTCGATCCAAGTGAAGTTGGCGAATGCATTTCAAAATGGACTACAAAGGGGAGTTTCTCTAACTCTGTCTATTTTCCTACTCTAATTCCCTCTAATGTTCAACCCTTGACTTTGGAACTAAAAGATTTACCTCCCAACCTCAAGTATGCTTACCTTGAGCCTGAGAATAAATTGCCTGTGATTATTTCTAGTTCTTTAATTGAGCATGAAGAGACTAGTTTAATGGGAGTTCTTAGAAGAAATAGGGAGGTGTTGGGTTGGCAATTAGCTGACATTAAGGGAATTGACTCTACTGTTTGTACCCATAGGATTTTACTAACTGAATATTCCAAGCCAATTAAACAAAGCCAAAGGAGATTGAATCCTCTAATTTCTAATATGGTTAGGAAAGAAGTTGACAAACTTGCAAGAGCTGGAATCATATACGCTATTTCTGATAGCGAGTGGGTGTCACTGGTACAAGTTGTGCCAAAGAAGAGTGAAATCACAGTAGTTAAAAATGAGAATAATGAACTCATCCCAATTAGGAAGCTGAATAACGCCACTAGGAAAGACCATTTTCCCTTACCTTTTATTGATCAAATGCTTGAACGGTTAGCGGGGAAGAGTCATTATTGTTTCCTAGATGGATATTCTGGATATTTTCAAACTCCTATAGACCCTAGGGACCAAGACAAGACCACCTTCACTTGTCCCTTTAGAACTTATGCTTACAAAAGAATGCCTTTTGGTCTTTGCAATGTTCTTGGCACATTCCAATACTGTATGCTATCCATTTTTACTGAATTTATTGAAAAATACATGGATGTGTTCATGGATGATTTTACTGTTTATGGAAATTCTTTTGAAGACTACTTGAAAAGTCTTGACCAAATTCTAGCACGGTGCATTGAGAAAAAGCTGATTTTGAATTATGAAAAATGTCATTTCATGGTTAATCAAGGCATCGTGCTAGGTAATTTAATCTCTGAAAAGGAATTGAGGTAGATAAAGTCAAAGTAGAGGTGATATCTTCTTTGCCCTACCCAACCAACTTGAAAGAGTTGAGGTCCTTTTTAGGACATGTAGAAGGTTCATCAAGAATTTTAGTAAAATTACTTTACCTCTTTCCAAACTGCTACAAAAAGATATTGAGTTTCAATTTGACCATGCATGTGAGCTTGCTTTTGATGAATTGAGGAATAGGTTAGTTATTCCTCATATTTTGACTTCTCCCAACTGGGATTTGCCTTTCGAGATTTCTTGTGATGCTTCGAACTTGAGTATGGGGGCAATATTGGGTCAAAGGGAGAATTCTGTTTTGAAAGTGATTGCTTATGCCTCTAAAACTCTAGATGCAGCTCAGAAAAACTATACCACTACTGAGAAGGAATTGTTTGCAATTGTTTTTGCACTTGATAAGTTTAGACCATACCTAATAAATTCCAAAGTGGTTGTGTTTACAGATCACGCAGCAGTGAAATACCTCTTCCATAAACCTCAATTGAAGTCGAGGCTCTTGAGGTGGGTGTTATTACTTCAAGAATTTGATGTGGAAGTAAAAGACAGAGCTGAAAATGTCAACCATGTGGTAGACCACCTGAGCAGACTACCTTTAGAAACCAAGGGAGTACTCGATCCTGATATTATCTGTGATTCATTCCCTGACCAATCTCTAAGTGTATTGTCTGTTTCTCAACCATGGTTTGCTCACTTAGTTAACTATATTGCTACTGGTCTAATCCCTTCTCACTTGACCACCTCTCAAGTTCAAAAGCTTAGGAGTGAAGCTTCCTATTATATATGGGATCCACCGCACTTATGGAGGTTATGTTCTGAGCAAGTTATTAGACTGTGTATTCCAGAGGTAGAGGCTCGAGCCATTCTGGAGGCTTGCCATGATACCTTATGTGGGGGGCACTTTAGTGCTAGAAAAACAGCTAGGAAGGTTTTAGATGTAGGATTTTACTGGCCCACCTTATTTAGAGACGCATTCACTCTCTGTAAAGCATGTGATAAATGCCAACAGTTTTGGGGGTTAGTAGAAGGAACGAAATGCCGCAGCAACCTATTTTATGAGATCTTTGATTCTTGGGGGATAGATTTTATGGGCCCCTTTCCACCTTTCCTCAGTTACACCTACATTCTCCTAGCTGTAGACTACCTCTTTAGGTGGGTAGAAGCCATTTCCACACGTAAAGATGATGCATCTGCGGTTTCCAAATTTCAGAAGTCTACCATCTTCAGTAGATTTGGGGTACCTAAAGTGCTAATTAGTGATCAGGGAACCCACTTTTGCAACAAGTTACTCAATAAATTGTTAGCAAAGTATGGGGTTTCCCATAGAGTGTCCACCCCTTATCATCCTCAAACCAATGGTCTGGCTGAAGTATCAAATCGAGAGATCAAACGTATCTTGGAATGGATTGTCAAGCCCTCCAACAAAGACTGGAGTTTGTGACTAGATGATGCACTGTGGGCCTACCGCACCGCCCACAAGACCCCAATCGGTATGTGTCCATATCAGGTCATCTATGGTAAGGCCTGTCACATTTCGGTAGAGTTGGAGCATAGATCATACTGGGCGGTAAAGAGTTGCAATGCTGATTTGGAGGAGGCTGGCATGAACCGACTCCTTCAAATTCAAGAACTTGAAGAAATGCGGCTATATGCCTACAACAGCTTAGATATTTACAAGCAGAAAACCAAGCTTGTCCATGATGCCAACATCTTAAGAAAGAAGTTCAAGGAGGTTGACAAGGTATTGAGGTATCAAGCTCGATTCAAATTCAAGAAGGGTAAGTTCAAGACGAGGTGGGATGGACCCTACATTGTGACGAAAGTGCATAAATTCAGGATGATAGAGCTCAAGGAGGAGGCCACAAGCAAAATGTTTTAGTGCAACGGACATCTCCTCAAGCTCTACGGAGAGCCCGCACCGCCTTCTTAAGGCCAGGACCCAAGAGTTATGATAGAGCATGGATGGAGCCAAAATATTACAAGGACCAAACACAAAAGTTGGGAGTGTTTTGCCACCTCAAGTCGCGACATGGAATACTTAGGTCGCGACCTGGATGCCATTTTACTGAAACCACATGTTTTGGACCTGAGTAAAGATGCGAGCTCTCTGTCTTCCCAGGTCACGACAAGAAACCTCTCAGGTCGCGACCTGACCCCCCTGAGTCATGAGCTTACATTCTTGAGGTCACGACCTGAGTGCGTTAAGTGAAGCTGTGCGTTTTGGAATGGGTTTCTGAGCTTCTATACCTAAGGAGGGCAGCCACCATGAAAGGGAACTCTTCCATTTTGCAAATTTGCACAAGGTTGAGCCAAAACTTCCATTTTTCTTCATCTTTTTATCATTTTCTATATTTCTAAACCGATCAAACCACTCCAACACCCTTCTTCTCTATTTTTCCAATCTTATTTTTAGCTTTAACCATGGTTATTCATTCCTGGAGCAATTGTGATTGGTTTGAAGGCATGAGAGGCTAAACCCTTAGCCTCTTGGTGATGGAAGATAAAGCTTGAGCTCAAGGACTTAATTGGTGAGTTCTTGGTGATGGAAGATAAAGCTTGAGCTCAAGGACTTAATTGGGGAGTTTTCTTTCTATAGTCTAAATCATTGTTTAATGCTGTGATATGAGGCGAACGAACGAACAGACCGGCTAGAATCAAGTAATGAACAGATGGTTGATCTAGGTAAGACCTTAAGAGAACCTGTCTCTTACAACCCTAGCTATGAGGACACCACAAGGTTGATCAATCCCTTGATACTGTCAAGCATTCTCATAAGAATACAAGGATGCAAGCAAAGCTCACACGGAGAGAAATAAACTAGTTCTCATTCATCTAAGTCTTGAATTCAATTACAAAAAACATAGCCTATATATAGGCAATAATAGAACACTCTAGAATCAGCATCCTAAGACATAAATGCTAGGGATGATGCCTCATTAATGATTATTTGACTATGGGAGGCACCATTTATTACATAGAAATAAAAGAAAATAACTTAAACTTCAAGAACAAGTCTGCTATTTAAAAATAGGAAAGTAGATCAAAACATGATCTTCTAGAACACTCCTTGACCAAAAAAATGAATTTAAATCATAATCAATTCATAATTATGCTTTCTTGATCCTTCTTGAAGATTCTTGGACTGTCACTTATGACCCTTGTCCAAGGCACATGCTTGTCACATGGTATTTTAAATGAATTCTTCAATTTGAACCCCACATGGGCCTTGTACATCATCTTGTTGGGCTTCTAGCAATGTGATCACTATTTTTGGACTCCTTTTAGGCTCCTTAAAATGGCTTCTTTGAAATAAATGGGTCTAGCTCTTTTAGCTCTCTTATTGGACAATTTAGGGCTTCCTTTATAGCTTTGGTCCTTGCTCTTGTCATTGGGCCTCCAATGCCTTGTAATGGATCTTTTGAAATGTTGGACTTCTTTGTTTAGGCTCCTTGCCTGTGCTCTTAATCACATCATGCTCCTCTATCATTCCCTCCCTGCTCGAAAGGATTCGTCCTCGAATCTGTAACATCAAAGAGAGATAAATCAGTAACATTAAAAGTAGCACTAACATTACCATAGGAACTAGGAAAATCTATTTTATAAGCATTGTCATTGATCTTTCTCTAAGACTTGGAAAGGGCCATCTCCTCTTGGATGTAACTTAGATTTATGTTGATCAGGAAATCTCTCCTTCCACAAGTGTACCCAAACCCAATCTCCATGCTCAAAGACAATCCTCCGACGACCTTTGTTAGCTTGCCTAGCATATTGCTTATTCGTCCTCTCTATGTTGGCTCTCACCTTAGCATGTAATCCCTGCACAAACTCAGCCTTTTTCTTGCCATCAACATTTGCTTGCTCATTAGAAGGCAATGGTAATATATCTAAATGAGACAAAGGATTAAAGCCATAGACAACCTCAAATGCAGAGAGGGAAGTAGAAGAGTGAATAGCTTTGTTACATGCAAACTCAATATGAGGCAGACAATTGATCCAATTCTTTAAGTTCTTTTGGATTATTGCACGCAACAAGGTAGTAAGTGTTCTATTGACTACCTCAGTTTGCCCATCAGTTTGGGGATGTGCCACAGTAGAAAATAACAACTTAGCTCCTAGCTTACTCCATAAAGTCCTCCAAAAATGGCTAAGAAACTTCACATCCCTGTTACTCACAATGGTTTTGGGCAATCCATGCAACCTAACAATTTCCTTGAAAAGCAAGTCAGCAATATGGATTGCATCATTTGTTTTAGAACATGTAATAAAATAAGTCATTTTACTAAATCTATCAACCACAACAAAGACACTATCCTTTCCAGACTGAGACCTAGGCAAACCCAACACAAAATCCATAGAAATATCTACCCAAGGTTGGGAAGGTACAGGTAAAGGGGAATACAAGCCATGAGGTTAAACCTTAGACTTTGCGTTCTTACGTGTGACACATTTGGTATAAACAAAAATGACATCTTTCCTCATATGAGGCCAATAAAAGTGTTCATGCAAAATAGCTAATGTTTTGTCAATACTAAAGTGACCCATCAAACCACCACCATGAGTTTCTTTTACTAGCAGCTCATGCATAGAGCAATTAGGAATGCACAATTTATCTTTCTTAAAAAGAAACCCATCAGATCCATAAAAGTCATTCACCCCATGCTTTTCACAAGAAAGCCAAATTTTGGAAAAATCACAATCAGAGTCATACAATCCTTCCAATAATTCAAATCCAAGTAATTTAGCATGAAGAGAAGTGATAAGAGAATACCTCCTAGAAAGAGCATCAGCAACAACATTCTCTTTACCTTGCTTATGCTTGATCACATAAGAAAACGTCTCTATGAACTCCAACCAGTGAGCATGCCTCTTGTTAAGCTTACCTTGAGACTTTAGAATTAGAAGAGCACCAATACCAATCCCAGAAGCATCACATTCAACTTCAAAAACTTTATTAAAATCAGGTAAACACAAAAAAGTTGTGCATTGGTTAATTTCTCTTTCAAGGTATCAAAAGCTGTTTCTTGTGTTTCACTCCATTTAAATGTCACATGCTTCTTAACAAGCTCATTTAGAGGCGCAGCAATAGTTGAAAAATCTTTGACAAACCTCCTATAGAAACTTGCTAGTCCATGGAAACTCCTGACTTCATTGGCATTCTTTGGGTTGGCCAATTTCTTATAGCTTTCACCTTTTCCTCATCTACACGGATCCCTTGAGCACCTACAACAAAATCAAGAAACCCAACAAAATCCATGCAAAAGGAGCATTTTTTAAAATTAGCATATAAGCTATTCTCCCTAAGAGTTTGAAACACCTCATGCAAGTGAATAACATGGTCATCTATTGTTCTACTATAGACAAGAATATCATTAAAGTAGACAACCCAAACTTCCCAATAAATGAACAAAAACATGATTCATCAAACTCATGAAAGTACTAGGTGCATTAGTTAACCCAAAAGGCATAACTAACCATTCATACAATCCAAATTTAGTTTTAAATGCTGTTTTCCATTCATCTCCCTCTTTCATGCGAATTTGATGATAACCACTCCTAAGATCAATTTTAGAGAATAAAGTAGCACCATGCAACTCATCCAACATGTCATCTAATCTAGGAATAGGGTAGCGATACTTAACTATTATTTTGTTTATGGCTCTACAATCAACACACATTCGCCACGAACCATTTTTCTTAGGCACTAAGAGTTCTGGAACAGCACATGGGCTCAAGCTTTCTCTCACAAAGCCTTTCCTCATAAGCTCATCTACTTGGCGTTGAATTTCTTTAGTTTCCTCAGGATTGGCTCTATAAGCAGGTCTATTAGGTAGAGAAATTCCAGAAATAAAATCAATCCTATGCTCAATTCCTCTTAAGGGAGGAAGCCCATCAGGTATCTCATCTGGGAATAAATCACCAAAGTCCTGCAACAAAGACACAACACTAGAGGGCAAAGAGGGGTTTAGATCGTTAGTAGAAAAATAAGCATCCTTACACACAAGCACCAAGACTTGCTCACTCAACAGTACTCTCTTAACGTCACTTTTTCAAAAATTAAACTCTATTTTTGTTTCACTTTTCTCATGTTCTTTCTTTTTCTTTTCTCTCTCTTTAGTTTTTTCTTTTCCACTCTCTTCTTTTCTTTCAACTCATTCATTCTTTTGCAATTCTGCTCAATCCTCACTTGGTTCTCATAAGCTTCTTTTGGCCTAAGAGGCTTCAATACAATGATTTTTCTATGGAATAGGATAGAATAACAATTTTTGTAACAATCATGGTGAGCTTTGCTATCAAATTGCCATGGCCTTCTAAGTAAGAGATGTCCAGCATGCCTTGGAACCACATCACATAGAAGTTCAGTATGATAGTTCCCATTAGAAAAAGAAACCAAAACCTGCTTAGTGACTTTAGCCTCAGCACTATCATTCAACCATTGCAATTTATAAGGTTTAGGATGCTTCATAGTAGGCAAGTCCAGCTTTTCAACAAGTAAGGTACTAGCAACATTGGTAACACTACCACTATCAATAACCATGCTGCATACCTTATTCTTTATGAAACACCTAGTGTGGAAGATAAGCTCTCGCTGCTCTTTCTCATCATCTTCCTTTACATGAATATTTAGGGATCCTCTAGCCACCAAGGCTTCTCCCGTAACAGGTTCAGCTTCATCAATCTCCAATTCAGAGTTAGTCACAAAAGAGGGTATGTCATTATCACTAGACATACTCACCATTGTCTTTGATAATGATGGCTCTCTTATTGGGACATTTAGAAGCAATATGCCCCTTTTCATGACATCTAAAACATTGAAGAGAAGAGGTTTTATAAGTAAAAGAAGTTTTAGAGTCAAGTTTCTTACCACCATTACCCTTGGGC